ATTGCTGACCTTTCTCTTTTTACTCCTAAAAAAGCATGTTGGTTAAAAGATGACCATTGTTAGTACTGATGCTCTTTTGCCTTGTACCATTCTCACTGGAGGATCTGTATAATCAGGCTGTTACTGGATGAAGCAGAATTCCCAATCAACAGGAGTCTAATGAGTTTGCACCAGGTCTCAGCTGAAGCATTTTAGCTGAAGTGCCTCATCTTAATTCCACAGAATTATTGTCCCCCATTACACACCGGTCGTTACCGTTAAGTATCATTGGGCTTCAATCAAGTTCTCTAAGAGAAGTCCTCATTAAATGGAGGGCATAATTTATTTTTTTATTCTGTTCCTGGGAGAATCACTCACTGAGAATACAGCAATGACAGTAATGACAATACCTATGAAAACTCAGATTTGCAGATTAGCTGAACTCCAACAGTCACCACTATGGTTTAAATAGGTTATTTCAGCGTGGTTTGTGTTGCAGTTTTGCAGTTTTCCACCACCAGCTGCTACTCAGAAATATTTTCATCAATACATAATCAATATTTGCTTTAGTGACATTCACAAGGACATGTCACTCCATTTGCAAACATATTTGGGCAACCATCGCGAAACCAGAAAAATATCCATTAGTTCTAGAAAGATTCTCTTTCCCTGCTTTAACCACTGAGAGACACTGAGTGATTCACACTAAAATTACATTACTATTGGGGAAAAAAACCCCACAAAAATAATAATCACACATCCTTTAACTTTTGAGGTATAACAATTTTTTCCACAGTAGAGAACCTTTGTATTTGATTAAAAACAATGGAAGTTAAGAGATTTTCATTGTATCTTTGAAGCTCTACTTAATATCAAAGCAAATTTCAAATGGTTAATGTGATCACAAAGCAGCTGGTGATGCTCTCCAAAGTAAAGAATGATATTAAAAAAAAACCCTCTTCAGGCATCTGGAGCTGTATTAAATTTACAATGCAGTGTTAATGTAACCTTTCCACCTCTTTTTCTCCCCCCCCTCCCATTTTTAAATGGGTGTGATATAAGTGAAATCTAACATTTAGTTTAGCTTAATATATTGTAGCTATACTATAAAACATCTAAATCTTGTGTCTAGAAATGAGGCTGAGGCCAGGCTCAGGGACTGGATCCCAACGCCCTGGAACTTTGGTGACCAGCCAAACCAAGCCCAAACTGTGTAGCTTCACACCCATCTCTAATCAGAAGCATTAACTTGTCACTTTTCCAGACATGAGTAACCATTCTTCCATGCTGGAAGAACTCAATAAGATGCATTGTACAGCTCTATTTCCATGTCTCTTATTTATATTTGAGTCTCAACAACAAAGTGAGTTTTGGGCTTTCATTCAATCTCCATTAAAGAGCAAAAATGGTTTTTGATGAGACTCATTCAGTTCCAGGTTCCTGCTGCAATTTAAATGAGCATTTTGATATAAGGATTCTCTCTTCTGTGCTTTTTTAATAACTATAAAAAATCTTAATGTCTCCTGACAAGCACTACTTTGTTGAAAATTTGGTTCTGCAGAAGAACAGAGGTAGAAATAAAAAGCCACTCCACTGATTATCACTACAGAAGACTGCATAAAGAAAGTTAAATTTGTGGAAATGTTTCAAAAAGGAGGGCCCTAAAAACAACAGCTGTGCAAATCATTTATTAGGAAAAAAACAATAAAGGTTTTAGATGTGGCCCAAGAATAAAACATAACGAATTAAATCATAAAGTGAATAAAGTACCCTAATGCACTGTGCTTCTTAACCCTGCTCTTGTGTCCCTGTACTGGTAGGACTAACAACTGTCCTTTCAAAGCTAATATACAATTCTGCACATTAATTACTTTACCTGATGTAAATCTTAAGAATTGAAATAAAAATTAACATGTTCACAGTGTGCCAGCACACCACTCATACTTTCTTCCCCTCCTTCTGCCTTTAAAGGTAGGGGACAGACAACTCAACTGCTCAACAAGCAGTAGGCAAAGAAGTGTGTGCCCAAATTTAAAAATAAAACAGGAAACACCCTAAAAATCAACCCAAAAAAATGGAAGATCCAGAAAAGAGAGACACTGGAGCATTCAAGAACACTCCTAACTTTCATTACAGCCAGGGAAGTCATCCTCTATCCTTAGAAACACAGAGGCAGACAGAAAACAAGCTGTCTTTGCTAATTATCTTTACAGTTCATCATGGCTAATTTCCTTTGGAACACAGAGCTTTCTCACTCCCAATGTGTAAAATTTTAGCAATTGAACTACTTTTTGTGTCTTTTTTTATACATACTGACCTCTGTAGCCCAGAACAAAGCTCATCAACAAGCCTGAATGAGGATCCTGCTTTCAACTCAAAACCTCAAGCATTTTGCAATTTGTCTCAAAGGGTTCATTTTTGTGCCTCTAAAAAAAAAAAACCTCATCAACATTTTTGGTTTTCACAAAAAAACAAGCTAAACCTCGTGGTTTTGCCTGATCTTGATTAATTTTGGGGTTTGAACAATGAAACTGAAAGGGTATGAACTCACATTGCCTCAAAGTGCACAGGAGTTGAAGCAAGTCCTGCAAAACAGAACCAGGGAGTTTCACTTGGCTCCATTTTCCCAGCTTGGCATGTTGTAAGGCAGAAAACACAGATGAGGAGTCTATCCCAGCTCATTTTCTTCTCCAAGAAACTGCTGATTTTGGTACAAAGATCAAAAGCAAGGCCATACTTTCTCCTATCCAAGAGGCATGCCAGGTGGATGGGCTGAGGGAAGGCAGGCACTCGTCCCCTCCCTAACCATGTATTTCACTTTCCCAGTTCAGTGTTTCACTGGAAATTTGAAGCTCTTTAGGCTCTTTAACATCACCATTTTGGGTGTGGAGATACAGAGGTGAAACAAAGAATAAGGCCAGAGGTAGACTTCTGCCAAAAAAAATTAGACCCCAGATACTCCTGCTGTTCAGCACCTGACTTAAATCTAGGATTTTAGTTTCCCTCACTGTAGTGAGTGGGCAGGCAGGAGGAGATTGGAACCCAGTCTGAATTCCTTCAGTGTTCAAGTGTGTTTGGATCCAGAGTTTATACTTTGGCTATTGCAACCAATATTATTTGTAATATGGCAGTGCCTAGAATCCCTGGGTGCTAATCAGGATTCCCTTCTGCAAGATTTTTTTACATACTCATAATGAAACAACAGAAAAAAAGAGACTCTGTTTATGTTTCATCACATTCCATGGTCAGCTATTCTAGCTGGCTCCAAGAGCCAACAAGATCTGTTTACATGCTATAAATTGACTTTTCCTTTACTCTCAGATTTGTTCTCATTCTTGGCAGATGATATCTAATTGGTGTTTTTTGTTTATGGAAATTGCCACTTGAAAAAATAAATAAATCAGTATTTCCTAACAATGAGCACCTCTTTTTTCTCATGTCTCATAATCTCTTAAAAACACAGAATGGAGAAGTCACTGCAGTCTCTTTAAACTACTGGTGAAAAAAATTAAGTTGGTCAGGAAGTTTTTTTTAAATTTATTTCTGCTCAGAACAAAAATTAATCACTCTTTTATATTTTTTGCCTATATTTCTTTTAATTTTTTGGAGCTTTCAGAAGCTTTTATTTTGCAGTAATTCTCTTAAATGTTTAAATAAAAATATACTGCCTGTGAAATTTTCATTGCTAGTAAAAAAAATAATTAAAAAATCACTTGTCTGGGAAAACATGTTTTGGTGGAAAGTTTTAAACAACTCTGTGAACTCCTGTGGAGTTTTAACTTCATTTATAAATGAGGAAACTGATGCAAGTGCCCAAGCAATGAAATATGAATTGCCAAACCTAAGGATGTCACCTACCCACTGCAAGTCTTGTGGCTCTACAAATCACACCCCCTTCCCTAAGCTAAAATCCTCTTTGTATCAGGGATGTGCCACAGTGAAGGTACAATAATAGTGGTAACAAGCAGTAGCAGCATTTACAAGGCCAGTCCTGGCTTTCACCAGCAGATTTCCAAGGCTCTGGCTGGCAAAGCACACATGCCCTTCCTCAAACAATCTCCTGCATCAAGACCTCAAAGTTTCACCAAGGTGAGCAACCCCTCTGGCAGAGGTGGAAATATATACTTAAAGCATGGAAAAAAAGCTCCTCAAAGGTCATCCAGCAATTGAGAGGATGAGTCCTACCCTCTGAAGTGCAATGCTGTACCCAGTTCCAGAACCTCTTATCCACAGTGTTCCCTGCTGTGACACCTTCCACACCCCACAGGGACCTGGCAGTGCACGCCCTTGGCATTTTTATGAGGGTTAAGTTATAGGTAAAATACTTATGTATTAAACAGAGCTGCTTAAAAGGTCAGGATATGAAAGATGGGGGCCTATGTCTGCCTTCCTCTTTACCAGGGACACACTTCACCTCCTTCTGTGTTTTTGTTAGCTGGTATTCACAACACATCAGCGGCAGCGATGATGAAACCAGTGGCAGATTTCACTGCAAAGCAGCTGGGTCATTGTCCCATGGGTCTTGTTGCTTTGCTGTGTGAGATCTTAAAGTGACTATCACTATTTTGGCTTCTTTTTTAAAAAAAAGAAGCTGGAAGGGAGGGCATGAGAGAGTTAAAAGGCAAAAGAGATGGAAAGAGACAGAGAGTGGAGGGAAATGAGGAGACGGCTTGTGTACCACGTAGAGAGATACTTGGAAAAATTCTGAGGCATCTAAGTATCACAAACATGATCCCTGCTGTGGGCAGCTGTATGTGTGAGTGCTTTGCCCGAGGGTGTCAAATCAAATATCCACTGTTGGTTGGTACAGTACATCACTTCCCCTTGAGGATTCAGAGTGGAAAAAGAGGAAAAAAGGGGGGGAAAAAAAAGAAAAAGATTTAAATACAACAAACAGAGAAAAACTTTAACCATCTCTGATACAGTTTATCATATACTGTCATCATATTATTATGAACAATGTAGGAGGGAGGAGAGGGAAAAGGAAAAGAAGAAAAAAAGCTAAGCCTTATAAGATTTACCTGGAACCGTCTCATATCTCTTGGGTTTCCTGCTGTTTTCAAACAATTCTGATTGCACTTGAGAAAAAATTTTAAGAAGAACCTGGAAAGATAAAGAACCATGTATGTCAGTTCTATTAACCACAACAAAACATGTGTTGCTACATTCTGTTTTAACGCATACACTGTAGTGATTCACATGATGGTGCACCAGTAGACCAGGACTGTAAAAACTGAACAAAACAGAAATAAAACAAAACAGAAGTTAAAAACACATCAGGTGAAGTACAACCAAGGTGACTAACCCACTGTGAGCTGGGCTGGTATAAATCAACACATCTACTTTGATTTATGCCCATTTCCTCACTGCAGGTTTGACCACACAATTTTAGTCTCTTCCTTTATCTCTCCCTTGCATACAAGGTCTTTTGCTGTCTGAAGGGATTTTCCATGAAACAATACAGAAGGATAATGTTATTGTAAAAACTACAAAAACTGTCGGGGCAACTCTGTGGCAGATAAGCTGTGAAGCTACTCAGAATGTATTAAAAACCCCAGAAACAAACGCAGGTCCCAGAAGAACCTGATGAGATTTCATCATGACCGTGTTTTTTGTTATTAAGATTTCAGGAACAGAGGAGCAGAACTGCCGAGAGTCCAGATTATAATCTTACATAGATTTGGAGAGGATAACAAAAACACAAGCTCATGCTGTCCGAGCAGATAAACCTATTAACATTGTACAAAGTTCTTGTGCCAATTATTTTTGCTCCTCGCTCAGTGTCATTATTCTGTAGAGTTTTAGCTTGTCGTGTACACAAGTTGAATCTCCAGCACACTTGGTTGGCTCACCCAACACTATGCACCCCAACATACAGTTTGTACAGTTTAGAAATATTAGGCAGGCATTTTTCTATAAGCTTTTCCACAACATGTTATGTGAAATCCAGGAGGGAGAGGATTCATCTCTTTGTTATCTGACTCATCCGTTTAAATGTATGAATTTCAGAGGTAAAGAAACTACATGAAAAATTATACTTGTTGGATAAAAAAACCAAAACAAGCATGTCCTCAAAATCCAGACATAACAGGCAAGAAATTTTTTTGGCATCCTCTATTGCAAGTGAAAATATTTTCTGTGATTCTTTACATTTCCATTTGTCGGACAAAACGTATTTAACTGCAACAATTAAAGTAACAACAACAAAAAAATAATCAAAGACTTTAAAGATATATTTAGAAGGAAAATAACTTGGAGATAAGAAAAAATAAATAGTTGAAGAATTGATTTGGAATACAAAGAGGAATTTATTTATTTATTTCTCTTGCTGAGTGCTTTCCTTAAAAAAAAAATAAAAAAATCTGCTTTTGCAGTAAGTTAAAGTCCCAGGTGAGCCAGGCCTATTTCCCTTTCTGTTACTATGACAACGATTTTTTACCGCAGTCCCTAAGTCCCTTCAGAACTCACACATTCATGCCTTGAATTAGAACTTTAAAGGAGAAAGATGTATATTTCCTAGGGTTTACCAACAACAGCAACCAAAATAGTCCTCACGCAAGACAATAAAGCCGAAATCCGCTCTCCCTTGTTATCGCTACTTTCTTTGCACCCCTTAGATCATGGTATTGCTCTTCCATCTGCCCCAAACACACAAAGAAATACTGAAGGATCTGATCCATTTATATGTTGCTTGAACAAACAAAACCCTTCGGAAACCTCACGACAATTGAATCCACAAAAAGACCCAGATAACCTCATATAAAATAACTGTCACAAAACACCATCTTCCCAGCAAGCGTTTTAAATTAAAATGTTTCTTTTTTTTTTCCTTGAGTCTCCCACAAACATTTTTTAAAAAATCTCAAAAATATTTCTTTTTTTTTCAGTGCGTGCATTTTGCAGACTGTTAATATTTTTATCTCCATCTTTCTGCTCATTTCTGAGAGAAAGAGCTGGGGGTTCCTCCTGGGGCACATCCTGCTGCGCTCGCTCCACGTTGGCACTCGGGTTCTGCGGGAGAGACGGGTCCGTGCTTGGCTCTCAGGGGGCAACTTCTCCCTGTATTCTCCACTAAAAATCCTACAGAATTCCATACCTCGGGAACAGCACCGAGCAAATATATTCTACCAAATAAGTCCTATTGACTCCTCATGCTAAAACCTGTGACCTGTTTATTGGAATGATTCGCTAAGCAAGATTTTATCTGGAAGAATGTTTTCAGAAGGAAAAAGGCAACACATGCCGGCACACTCGGAGATTCACAGGAGAATTTGAGCCAGAAATGTTACCCACAAACACTCCTTTTTCTCCTGCCCACTTCTTACAGATACAAAAAAATATTTGCAGATACATAGCAGCTTCTGTTAGTGAGATCTACCTACGGAAGGAAAAACTGCAGAATGGAACCAAACTCTATAATGAATCCAAGGGAAGTTCCTTTTACGATGAGCTACTGGCAAACTGATTATGTTGGAGGAAAACAAACGTACAAGAAGTTACTTTCAAGGAAGAAAGATCAAATTTATCGGGGAAAATGCCCAGTTTCCTTTTTACATTTTTTTAAATGTTTGTTTCCCTATTCATCTAGACGAGATAAATGTTCAGGATGAAGCGAAGAAAGAAGAAAGTCAGAGGTAAAAAAAAATGTGTGTGTAAGAGAACTCGCTGTGTCAGCTGAACGTTGGGAAGAGCCACAACACGGAGCTAAGGCACATTGCACAGCCCTACAAGGCTGATACAAAAAGGTATAAATTCTAAATGTATGTTTAGCTGCCCCCGTGAACAAACTGAGCAACATCACACAGCAATGCCCTCAATTCTTATTTTCTCCTCAACATCTCCAGAAAACGGGGGTTCAGATCCCCAGCAAACATAATGCAGCAGCATGTGTGAAAATTAACTGGGATTTCCATGAGATCTGCATCGATTCCCACCAGCAGATGGATTGTCCATTAAAAATACACCAAAAGCAAAACTCTCCTTTCTCCCTGACCCGTCTGTCTGCTACAAGGCACGGAGCATTCTCACCCCTCACCGACTGCCCTGCCACGAACAGCATCCAGCATGCACTGAGCTGCAGGGTATTTAGCCAGGATATTTAACCAACAGCAATTTAGGGAGTCTCACTTGAACCCAAGTGTGCCTGACTTTTCTGGAATTGCTAAACACTGGAGCTGATGAAAATGGTACAACTTTAAGATACCACAAATTGGGCATCAGTAATTCCTCCTCTTACTCTTGAAGTGCTGGCCTTGGGTTTTAGTACTTAAGCATTGTGTCAATATTCATAAATATTGCCTGTGCTAAGACATTTGTAGTTTCTCTGGAGCTCACTGGATTCGTTGCATTAAGACAGTTTTGCCTCCCATCACCCCAGTTTTATTTAGATGCACCCACAAGAATTTTTATCTTCCCTCTAGTTGAACCAGGTCTGTTTTTTTTTTCTCCTTCCAGAGTTTCCCCAGTCAAATTTGAGCTGCAACTGGGCATCTGTGTGAAGTATATGGTGGGCTGTTATATATACGTATATATTTTAAGTGGCTGCATCTGGGAAAGGCATTAATATTTATTGCAGCATTAGAATAAAAATGACTTGGGGGGAGCAAAGAGGAGGGAAGGTTTAGCACTAAATGAAGCTGATTTAGGGGTAACAGGAGAATTGCAGAAAGGCTTTATTAATTTCTTTAAATGAGAACCTTTAGCCAGTTTTTGGCCTTAACCTACACACACATCAAAATTTTTTTAAAAACAACAGAATTAAAAAAGCTCATGTTCATGTTTCTTAGCTGGCCTTTGTTCCTTCCTAAGGACAGCATTAGCTATGAGTTTAGCAGATAACTCTGAAGCCAGCCAAGCAGAGAGCATGGCCCAGTCATCTCATAGATCAACCTCTAAGGGCGCTGGGGGAAAACCTAAAGACTTTTGAATGACTATCACAAAAAATTCTGGCATTGCTATAGAAAACCTGACTAACTTAATGTATAGACATAAAATTAATTAAGATACAACTATGCATTTTTTTCCCAATGTCTCTCTCATACAGTTGAGCCTTCTATCTACAGACTGATACACCAAAACGCAAACATTAAATATAACTCCCTCTTTTAGGATTTAGAAGGACCTATTTTAAAAGTCACTGCTCCTCCTACTGGGAGTTACCACCATGCTGAGGAATTAGGTTCATGAATCATTTAAGTGTCCCTTTTCCACTTCAGTACAAAGACAGCTGTGTTATCTCAACTATTTTTCAACAAGCCTATGTGACTTTGGGGAAAGCAGACCAGGAGCACTCATACAATCCATAATGCAGTTGAGAGGTGACAGGACAAACTCCCCCACAGAGGACAGTGGGGAAGGGTAATGGAAAGGTTGGTAAGATAATGCATCTCTCAAGCTCTTTCCAAAGCAATTGCTGATCCAGACTCTCACCTTGCCTATGTACACCTGTACTATTTAGTTTCTGTATGTACCTGAGGCAACTTAAAAACGTGGCTAGAACTAGAAAGCCTGTTCCACACCTTTGAGAATGTTTATCTTCCATCTTGGATGACTGAGAAGAACCTTAATCAAATCCTACTGGAGTAAAAAAAAAAAATCTTTCTCATGACTTCAACAGGACTAGACAGAAGCCCTAAAGAGCAGCCCCACATGCAACAGAGGGATAGGGTTTGGGTGCTTTTTTAAAAAAAAGAAAAATCCATTAATGTTTCTTAAAACCCTGACATGAGACCTGGGACTGACTAGTCTCACCACATGGAACCACAGAAATAGATAATATGCTTTGTGCTTTTACAATGCCATTCTATGGGACTTAAACTTCAATTAATTCTGCTTCACAAAACCCCTCTGCAGCACATGGTGTAACTCCCCATCTTACAGGCAAAGATGCCAGGGCCTGGAAAATGGGAGGGAATTGCTCCCCATCATGTCTGCCACAGAGCTGGGACAAGGACTCACAACTCCTGACTCCTGGTTCCACATCTTAACTAACCATCCTACCCACATCTTGTGCTTTCTTAAAATCCAGGTACAGAATTCAGAGATTGTTTTTTCTTGTGAGCGGCCTCCGGATACAGTTCAAAGATCTCTCTTGTAAAGCAACT